CGCGGCTTTTTTTTTTTTTTGGCTGCTTGGGGCAGCCAAAACCCTGGAGCCGGCCCTGGTTGTGGGAGTAGGAAGGAAAATGCATTTTAGTGTTTGAGGCAGCACGGGACTTGCTAGCATCAGGCAGTGTGAGGATAGGTGCTTGGCAAGCTTCTAACCACAGGTGCTGGAACAAGGCATGCTGCTGCATCCCCGGCTTGAAGTGGTTTCCATCATATACAGGGTTTACAGTTTGGTTCAATGGCTCTCGGCAGCCCCACTTTTAACAATCTACTAACATCTCAAATCCTGACCCATAGCCCTAAACTGGTGGTCACGCCTGCCCTTCTGTTGTGTGCGAGTGATGTGGCGAAATATCCATTAGACACTGGTTGTATTGAGGAGGCAGGAGGTAAAAGCACCAGTATGATGCTCCTCCCTCTCCCAGATAAAGCATTGCTTCTGAAACAGACCAGACCCCCCTGGGACAGCGCTTGGAAGTTCTACAGACAGATGTTTGGGGTTTGCTGGCAGCAGACCCATCTTTGTGGCCCCATGGCAGGCACGAACAGCCCAGGAGCATGCACAGGGTTAAGCAGATCAGTTGCTGATGTCAACTCTAAGCTTTTTGTGTTTCATTTCAGGGGGTTAAAATGCTGATCACTGTAACACCACCTTATGAGCCAGCATCCCTCCATCCACAGATTCCACCCCCTGCTATACTACCGAAACCCGGGAAGGACAATCTAAGGCTCCAGAGACTCTTGAAGAAAGTTGCAAAGAAGAATGCACCACTAGCCTCCCAGCAAGCCAAATCGTTCCGGTCCAATCTCTCCCCAGTGAGCGAGGCCAGCCCAGACCTAGAGCACAGCGAGCGCTCATCTCCGCTGAAGACCCCAGAAACATCGACGCACATCACCATCCGCCTCCCTCCCCGGTTCTCCATCAAGCCAGTCATCCACCATGTCTCATCTCCTTTTCCGAAGGCCAAGCCATTCACGCTCAAAGTAACCGAGCAGAGGAGAATCTCTGAACACCTCAAGCTCTCTGTCTCTCCAGCAGCATCCCCTGTGCACAGGCAGTCCCCATGGCAACCAAAAGGGATGACAAAACCAGACACGCCCACCCAGCTACCTTCTCCACAGGCACATTGTGTATTCGTTTTCCCTGACCCTCCTGTTTCCATCTCACCTGTCATAGAAGCCCCAGTGGAGGTTACTCATGTCACCAAAGTGCATGCGCTTGTCCATAGTGTGCAGGCACCCAGAGCAAAGACCCCCTTACCAGACCAGTCGTCTACAGCCCTCAGCAGCGAGGACAGGCAGCCTTTGGCAGCCCATACTGGCAAAAGCCACTCAGAGCCACCCGCAGGGCTGGCACCAATCACTCTGAATGCTGATGAGACTGGAGCTGCTACTCCGAAATCAAAGGACCCCATGCTTCCCACCATGACAGCAGAGCCCCCCTACAAAACCCTTAAGTCTTCAACTCCCAGAGAGCCTGTTGGGACTGCTTTCCCCAGTCCTCGGATGCCGGATCCCCAATTCAGTAGACCAGAAACCCCAGGAAGTGACACAACAAGATCCAGAACAGAGTGGGTTCCTGAACTTCCTGAGCCACACAGCAAAAGCCTAAGGCCAATGACTCCCCATACAGCTCAGAAGCAAGATGCCACAGTGCCAGCTGACAATACAAGGGCTTTCTCCACAGAAGCAAAGGAAGATCTGGTCATTCCACCACAGCCAACATCCACCATTCCCAGTGCCAATCCGTTCCCCAAAGCGGAGTCTCCACCACCATCTGTGGATAAGGCCAGACCTCTTACAGCCAAGCTTAGCGGATGGTCTCGCCTCAAGAAGCACTTGACAGTGGAACCCGAGGGGCCCCAATTCCCAGAAACCGAGCCAGCCCAGCCTGAACAGGAGGAAGCAGGAAGTAAAGCAGAAGGCTCTCAAGGTAATGCCAGCCAAGACAACAGGCTGATTAAATCAAGGGCCACCAAAATGTGGGACGCCATTTTATATCAGATGACAGCCCTCAAGAGGAGAAAGCAGCAAGAGGAAGAAAAAGGGATAAGGAAAGAGGAGGGATTCTCATTCCGGTGCCGCTTGCCCCTTCTCCACAGACCACGTTTTGATGCCCGGAAACTGAAGGAGCTGGCTTCCAAACCAATGATGAAGATCACCACCATGTTAGAGTCGAGCCTGCTCCACCACAAGACACCTGAGGAACCCAAGAATTTTAACAGGACTGCATCAGGGTGGCAGCTCAAGTGAAGCCAGCTGGATTCCACCTCGGCAACAAGCTCTCTCTCAGGCCTCCTCCAAGGTGCTGCCTGAGTTCTGAGCAGGAAAGTGCCTTTTATAGCCAGATTTTCCTGCAGCATGGAGGCCAAACGTGAGGAAAATATAAATAAAATCCTTCACAGACAGCAGCCTTATGCTGAGGGCTTTAGGGGGTTATGAGGACTGTACACTACATATCTGTAGTGTACATATCCGTAGTGCATGCACACACCTCCAGAATAGCTTGAGGATCCAAGAAGAACAGCTCTATATCTATATGCAGCTTCATTTAAAATATTCCAATTGGAGATCAGGCTACAAAACCAAACAAGGGACCCAGGAAAAGCAGTGAAGTGACCTGTAGAAAACCTCCAATGTAAAGGCACCTTGTTTCTCATTCAACAAAATCAATGGAATTTTAGATTTATTTTTAAGTGAATCCCAAACAGTGCCAGCCCAGAAACAGGACAGGTTGTGGCAATGCAAGTTGCTCCACCCTGCCCCATCTAATATTCTGCCTCCTAGGCTGTACGATCCGGTTTAAGACTGAAAGAAGGGTTCCGTTTCTAAGCCACTGAGTTCTTTGTTGGAACCCTCAGCAGTAGCCTCAATTTCTGGTCACTCAGAACTAGACTGAGATGAAATCCCTTTGCATAGAACAAGGGTGACAGGTGGTGGTATATTTCATGCTGCTCTCAAACCACACTTTACTCAGTCCAGAAAACAGAATCTCTCATTAGTTTTAGGTTTTATAATTAAATTTGATCTCCCTAAAGGTAAATTTGAGGTTGCAGGAGTTGTGGGGGGGGGGGGGGGGGAAGAGAATCTTTTGATTTGCAATGATCAGAGTTTTTCCATTCTTAAATGATTTCGAGTGCAGTTATTGGCCAGGGATTTTCAGAATGATTAGGATTTTGTTTGCTTCAGCTTTTGAGATGCCCAACTTGACATACCTTAATGGGGTCTGAGCTTCAGAGTGGGCAATCAGCAGTTTCTGAAAAAATCAGGTCCCTTTAAGGTCTCTCAGAGTGGGCATCCAAAGTCACTAGTGACTCTTGGCCATTGCACGTAGGCCAATACAACAGGGATATTTTTTTTTAAATAAATAAGAGACCAGAGGCTTAAAACAGAGTTTATAGAAAATAAATTGGGTTTTTTCCAGAGAGATTCAAAAGCATCTTTTCTTGCACAGACCTAAAACATTTCCTATAAATGGCAGAATTTATATGGAACTATTTTGCTGGATTCAAGTGGGGAGCACTGGCCTGAATCTAAAGATTTCCAAGCTACAGCAACCCCTACTGTCCTGGCTGTAGTTGAGAGGGGGTCAGTAGTTCCTCTCACTGCCATTTTCAAGCACGTCATGAGGAATCACACATTACACCCTTCATGGGGTTCTCATGTGGCTTAGATATTTTTCACTAGAGCAGATCATCCTGGACATTGATAGGGATTACGAGACTATCCAGAGTCACAGTAAACAAAACAAAGATCTCAAAGCAATATAAACCTTCAGGTTATGAGCCAGCCTCTAATTATTGGCTGTTAGGAGGAAATTATCCCTAAGGGCAGGTTATCCTATAGCTGCCTACTGCAGGTTTCTTGCACCTTCCTCTCATTCAGCTGGAGCTGGCCTTTGTCAGAGACCAGATACTGCACTGAATGGACCCTGATCTAACCCTGAGTGGTGATTCCTATCTACTGAATAGCATCCTCTGAAGCATCTGATGTTAGCCACTGTTAGGATGGCAGATTAGGAGAAAGATTCATCTGTTCAAATGTGGCAGCTCCAGTGTTCCCTTATCAGTCTGCCTGAAGGGCCTAAGCGGGCAGTTGATAGAAAGGGTACATTATAGTGACCACCTCATACAGAACAGAACATTGTTGGTCTTCCTATTAGTCATCCAGGGAAGCCTATGGCAACCAAGTGTTCCTTGGCCTCACTTTTAACTCGGGACAGACTAGTTAGCAACGAAGAACTAGTTTTAGCCACACTTGATCCCCTGCCACCCATGCGTCTAATGTTTGTTGGGCTAAAACCTCCACAAGCTGCCTCCTCCATTCTGCACTACAAAACAGGCAGCACTGGCATGCGCTCACCCTCTGAGCTCTCTCTTTGGAGCTTTTAGTCTTCTCTCAAACCTAACCAAGCCCCAATGCAATGCACTAGGGATGTCCTAGCAGAGGTATGGCCAAAGCACGCCTTGGCAAGGCCTTACGATTGGTTTTTTTTTTTTTCAACCCCCCGTTTTCCAAGCCCTTAGGAAACATGGACAAATCCAAGATGGAGGCTCCTCCGCACTTTCCATGGCTTTCTGACATTGTATTGCATTTATTTTTGATCGCTGCTCAGGTTTAACACATGGGTTTGTTTTGTTTGGTTTTGGGTTTTTTGGTAAATATTAAGCAGCATTACATTGAGATCTGGTTTTTCTGGCTATTTTGGGAGTGGGTTGTTCGTTTTGTTTTTAATGTTCACAGTTGTTTGCATCTCCATAGTCACCAGGCTTAGGGAGTGAGCTCACACAGGGTAAGCATGCAGCTATTTCCACTTCCCTAGTGAGGTTACCATAAGGGGGAATATTTCTGCATAGCTAATATAGGACTGGTATGTTTCGCCCCAAAGGGAAATTTGATACCTGCTTCTACCTTCTGTGCCTATGCACAGGCTAGAGAGCTGGCTGGAATTTCTCATTCCAAACAGACAGCCTTAAAAAAACAAAAAACAAAAACAAACAAAAAAAACACACACTTTGTTTTTGTGAAGTTTAATTTCTGAGAAGAAATGAAAACTGAAAATTCTCAGTGTTGAAGAGTCAGAACTCCAGTTTTTGCCCCTGGCCATTTTCCAGTAGCAAAAACGAAAAGAGGAAGAAAGAGGGAAATCCCCCAAATAAGAATCTGAACAATTTCAAAAGTTTTTCCATGAAACAATTGAGAAAATAAGAATTACTTGGCAAAATGTACTCCTATTTTTGGACCAGCTCTAATATGCTATACAGGTAATTAAGATTCCACTGACACAGAAAGGTGGCTTGCTACAAGACAACATTGTACTGACCTAGGCTGAGAATGGAGGTATTTTGCTTTAATTAAAATCTATGTGCAGATAGACTGGTATTCTCAGGAGTCCAAGAGAGTTAGGTACCCAGATTCCATTGAATTTAAGTGAGATTTGGACATTTATCTCCCTTACGGTCTGTTGAAAAAATTCCAGCCTTATTTTTGGCTCAATCATTTAAAACCTTTCCCCAATTGCTATTTTGTTGTTAATTACATATTTACAGGGTGAGGATTCAGAAATGGCTCTGTGATTGCTCCTTAGGCCTAATCTATATACACAAAATTAATGAATTCACTTAGAGATATGATTTTTAAACCAATCTAGTTTCACCAGTACAACTTCTAGTGTGGATGTAGTTATACCTGTATAAAGGTGCTTATCCTTGTATAGTTTATTCCTCTTTCCTTATAGGACACTTCCTGATAAAACACACTTTTAGACCAATGTAATTACCTCAGAATTATTGGGTTTTACCACGACTATACCAGAATAGTCAAGGCAGTCTAAACTAGAAAGTTGTACAAAGCTTTAGTCAACAGAAATCTCTACTAAAACTTCAAGACAATCCTTTTAAGCAGTACCTATTTTTTCTTCAACTCTTCAAATACAGCACAAGGAGCTTGTCTTCCCTAGGAAGACATAACCCAATTCATATGATGCAGAACACGACTTCACAACCAGCATAGACAGCACGCAGGTAGCGTAACAACTTGTCTGCTGATCGCAGGAAAGGTTTAGCCCTGAGCAGTTGGAACAAACACTGAACACATGTTGTCCATGTCTAAACCAACTGCAAATTCATATTAGTTAAAGATGTATCAAGATAAGAGTCTTAAGCAGCCTAATTTTCTAGCAAAGTCAACTCCAAATTGTTGCCAGGAAGCCTGTCTCAGGTGAAATCAAATTAATCTCAAATATAAATGGTTCAGGTCACTGATTTTTAAAACTGAAGATTGTGTTTATTAAACATACTGGTTTTGAATTTCCAGGGTGGGAAAATACATTGAGAAAGTCTCATTTTAACTCTGCATGACAAGAGTCTGTATTTAACTCTGTATTCCAAATGCTGCCCCAATTTTGTTTTGTTTTTTTTAGTTTGTTTCAGCATAGTTGCTTTGGGACGTCATCAGCTATTTGCAGTCTCCTATAATGGTGGTCAAGAGTTCAGTCCTTCAACCAGATGCCCTTGATTGGCAGCCCTTTTGTCCGCTAGCATACAGTAGCCTCTTTCTAATGCCAAAACAAGTTTGCTTCAAAACCCAGAACCTAGAAACACAGAAAATCTATTTGTTGCCTAGTAAGAGTAACTTCACTGCAGCATAGTTGGCACACACAAAGGACACCAATTACCATTCATGGGATCTGCATTATTACCATCAAGCAGAGCAACTAACATTTATTACAGCTGGGAGGTTAGGCCAATTTGGCAAGAAGATAACTCAGTAGTTATTGAAACTTCAACCCACATTCTGTCCTATATTGGCAGTGACCCAGGGAACAAGGGAGATCTCCCACAGATGAGAGGGAAGGTGCTTGCTTGGTTTACCAATTTAGAAAGGTGTACAATTGCTTGTTTTTTGCTGTGCCCCCCTCACCTCAGTGCATTTGCAACGAAGCCCAGTCTGCTGCATAGGCAAAACAACTTGCAGGGAGCTCAGTTTCCAGAATGGAAAGTAGGCTAAAGCAGGCCACATTGCATTGCTTAGCTCTACAACACAGAGAATGTCAGAGCAGAAAGCAGATACATTCAGTAAAGGAGGGCTTGTTTCTGGAACCATGGACATTGGAAAGAAGAGATCATGGATTTCCAGAGGGAACAGGAGACCTTTGGAACTAGCTGTATTAGCAATCTGCACTCCTACTACAAGCGGTCTCCTAAGAGGTAGTTGTTCAATGTATTAAGGCCTTTGTTGATCAAGGTTAGTGGACATTGTGGATAGTTCTCTGAAAACATCCACTCAATGTGCAGCAGCAGTCAAAAAAGCGAACAGAATGTTGGTAATCATTAAAAAAGAGATAATAAGACAGAAAATATCATATTGCCTCCATATATATTCATGATATGCCCACATCTTGAATACTGCATGCAGATATGGTCACCCCATCTCAAAAAAGATATATTGGAATTGGAAAAGGTTCAGAAAAGGGCAACAAAAATGATTAGGGGTATGGAACAACGGCCATATGAGGAGAGATTAATAAGACTGGGACTTTTCAGCTTGTAAAAGAGACTACTAAGGGGGGGAATATGACAGAGGTCTATAAAATCATGACTGATGTGGAGAAAGTAAATAAGGAAGTGTTATTTACTTCTCACAACACACGAACTAGGGGTCACCAAATGAAATTAATAGGCAGCCCTTTAAAACAAACAAGGAAGTATTTTTTCCACACAGAGTCAACCTGTGGAACTCCTTGCCAGAGGATGTTGTGAAGGCCAAGACTAACAGCGTTCAAAAGAAGAACTAGAGAAGTTCAGGGAAAATACGTCAATCAGCGACTATTAGCCAGGATGGGTAGGGATGGTGTCCCTAGCCTTTGTTTGCCAGAAGCTGGGAATGGGCAACATGGGATGGATCACTTGATGATTACCTGTCCTGCTCATTCCCTCTAGGGCACCTGGCATTGGCCACTGTTGGAAGACTGTATACTGGGCTAGACCTTTGGTCTGACCCAGTATGGCTGTTCTTATGACATGTTGTGGAAAGAGAAAGAGGAACGCAATAACTAAACCTCTTCAATGTGTGGTTGAAGTTACTAAGATATGTGGTGGCAGCCAAATCAGTAACTGTACAAGCCATCACTTGGAGACCACCTCGTTTCATGAGCCTGCCAAGAGGAAGCAACTCAAAAGTGGAGGGTGTGGGGAAGAATGCTCAACACCCTGCCCTGTGACACTTTATAGTGAGCCTTCCAGTTGCTTAACAAGTGGTATAATGGGGCTCCCCAGGCCTCCTTGAGCGGAAAACCAGAGTGTGAAAGGGGACTGCGTGATGAGGAAGGGGGAGAGAAGTGCCAAAACAAGATCGGTAGGGAGAGGAGAGACACTCAAGACATGAAACAGTCATGGAAGCAAGCGAAAGCAGAGGTGAAGCCCAGCACCCAAAGCCATTTCAGCCTTTTTGTCTTTAAGTACCAACATTTGGAGCCAGAGAAAGACACTGAACTGCAGTACTGTGGGGCAACTGTGCCAAGCCCTCACCATTTAGAGTATTGGCTATGGCTGTCCTGGGGGAGGGCTAGTCATTGCCTGTTCGCCTTTCGAGGAGGCACTGAGTGATTCAGAGACAGGAGTCTAAATCTCCTAGACAGGCTCAAACTAATGAAGTGGTTTATTTCCCTGGATGGGGAGGAAAACTCCTTTATGTGAGCTGCAGGAACTTAGATAATGAGGTTTAACCGCACCTAGGAGAGCCAAGCTCAGCAAGGCCGGGCTTGGCACATGAAAGGAGAGTACAGCAAGGAGAAACTATGTGGATTTAGAGGACAAGGTATATGATGAAAGCAGAGAGTTGAAGCAGGTTTTAGAAACGAGGAGCAGAGAGGTGGGTATGGTCACAAAGTGGCCTATAGGCCTCCACGTCTGGATACACAATCCTATGAGATGGGAATGCGTGTGGCAATTAGGAAGGGATGGAAGGAAGAGGTCCTTTTGTAAAGACTGAGCTCTACATAAAGCTTGGAAAGTCAATAAAGGTTTTATGAGAAGTCAAGTGCTGGTTTTTCCTGCGCAGAGCGTCAGACACTCAGGGTGCTTTGCCATTATCACACCACTCGAAGCGAGCTCTTCTTTGCCCTTGAGTCTTCTACTACTGGTCACTTAAGATAGCACAGGGATATCTATTAATACAAGCACCACGGTCCTGAGAGGGTGGGGAACAGTCTCTGGGTTTTCAAGTGGGCACAGATAACATCTACACTCTTTCCCCCCCGCCTTAATGTGACTAGACTGTTCCTTCTGCGCCACTTTATCTAGAAACAGGCACATTTTCACAAGATCACTCCCCCACCCCACCCGCAAGCATAGGCCTGATCCAAATGCCATTGAAGTCAATAGGAATCCTTTCATTGACTTCAATGGTCACTGGATCAGGTCCCATGAACACACTGGACACAGAGTACTTGGTCAGCTTCCATGACTCTCTGGAATGAACTCCAACTACCCCCCGCACCTGCAGTTCTTACTCTTTACAGCATAAGAGATCAGATTAAGCTATGTCTAGTTCAACCAAGACACTTTTACTATGAGTGGGGCTGAGGTCAGTAGCTTCCATAAATAGTCTGATCTGCAAGGTAAGTTTTCTAGCTGCAGCTAACATGGGCATCCTGCTCTGCACAGCTGCTAGAAAGAATCTCTTTGTGCATGCCCTTCTTCTACCCCGAAGAGGATTGTTTGCCAAGAAGTAGGAGCCCACCCTTTGTCCATACAGTACCTTCCAACACACTCAAGTCTGGCTGGCAATGTCGAATGTATAGGCTGAAGGAACAGGTTTTACGCTTATTGTGCTGAATCGTCCTAGCTGTCCTGCCAGAGAAGTACTAGGTGGTTCTCCTACAGTCAGAGGTTGTGTCTAACCTACCTGGTTGATTGGTACTCCACACACGCTATTGCTCCGTTGCATCATCTATCAACACCTTCTTGTACTGGCCATGTCCAGTCGCTACAAACTTGTACTTCTTGCCAGAAGCGGTGGTCTGAATGGGAGAAAAGAAGTGAGGATTAGGGCCCTTCCTCAAGTGTCCATCTCCCAGCCTGTATCTCAACCAACACAAATAAGAGTCAAATAAACTGAAGTCTGAGGAGCAGGTGAGGTTCTCCAACTTCAATATTTTAATGTGGCCCAGATTCCCACATGGGGTGAGAGCTTGTTCCTACCATATCTTTGCCTAGACGAATACATACAATAAAATAATAATGGAGATGGATAATTATTGGAACTGCCAGATAATACAACAATTTTAAAATTCATCATAACATCAATGGTAAGATGCAGCTCAGTCAAACCTCTCCGGTAACCCCATACCAAAAGGAGAGGCAGCATCAGAGTTGAAGTTCTATGGAGCCAGGGCTATTCTCAATCTTGGGTAAGTACCTTTTAATGCATTATACCCATGCACCCTTTGAGGCCTCCACATCTTTCAGAACTAGCAGACAGCCCAGAAACAGAACCCCAGGTATCTAAGCCACTCTGCACTTTCAGAGAATTAGGCTATTATTTAAAATTAAAAAAAAAAAAAAAAACTATTAATTAGCCCAACCTGCAAAGTTTCAATCCAAATGCAAATGATAGAGTCTGGTGGGAGGGAACCTTGGGCTTTGGTCCCAGCCCTTGGTTAAATTAGTGGGAATGTTTATTACAACAGATACGTTTAGAAAAGGAAAGCATGCCTTCCTGTCACTGCCATAGAGGATACCTCCTTTGGCCTAGGCCTATGCTTCTGTTCGTAGGCAACCTCAACCTATGCTCCAATATACAGGCATCCTTCTCCTTTCTCTCCCCCTCTGACCTAAGAGGGAATTCTCTTGAACAAACTCAGCCCCAATACCATAAAGCAAGTGCTATAACAAGGACATCTAGGAAGAAGCTACTTACCTTGATGTTGCCTTCATTTTTGGGGGTACCCTTCTGTTCCCACATGCTTCGCTTATTCACAATATCTCCAGCCACAATATCCTGGGGACATAAGAATGAATCTCATCACCCTGCCACCAACACAGCTGAAAGCTGCCTTTGTTCATTTCACACTGACTGAAGCCACCTGCCCAATAACTATGGTATTTGGCCATGTGATTGGGTAGAGTCACACTGGGCAGGAACATGGCTGCATACCAGGTGGCACGAGACTTCCTTTTCTTAACCATCCTCCAACATTTGGAATTTTAACAGAACACTGGATCTAAGGCCCAAGATGTAGGTTTTGTAGGGGAAAGGGTTTACAATATTAAAAAGTATTAATAGGAAAGTTTCTTTCCTAGGAAGCATTAAGTGAAACAGTTTTCAGAGAGACATTTTTGCCTTGAGGCCTTTGCAACCTAGATGTTGCAGCATTGTGCTGGCACTTGAACCAGAAAATGCAATTCACTAGGAATGGAGAGTAGATTCTTTCCATTGTTTAAATTTATAACTTGGCTGTACCTTGGATTAGACCCCACTGAGCCATCAATATGCAGCAACTGGGGTGGCTTCTACTGCAGACAAGGAAACAACTGTTTCCAGCAGTTCAGTTTAACTCCATTTCAAGCCGTGATAAACAAAACCAGTTTCCTTGGTATTTGCACTATTGTGGCTGGGGCTAATCCAGGTACAGACAAAGCTTTAGTGAATTGTAGGCAGTAGAGACAGAACATCTGAAAGTTTTAACAACATGGATGTCAATAGAAGAGGGGAAGAATGAGGTTTTAACCTGACATTGCTACTCCTGATACCATTGACTTTTCAAGTCCCTACTCCACAGTGATATGCCCCTGAATAATTTGAGTAAACCCAGCCAACCATGTAGCAGGGTAAGTTTTCTTCCTGAAGTTCATGCTGTTAGACACAGGGGCAGCCCTCTGGCATTAAACAAAGCATAGGCGTCGACTCAGTGGGTTCTCTGGGGCTGGAGCACCCACAGGGAAAAATTAGTGGGTGCTCTGCAGCCACTAGCAGCCAAGCTCCCCTTCCCCCCGCCCCACCTCCTCCTCCGCATCCCATCCTGAGCGTCCCGCGTCCCCGCTCCTCTGCCTACCTCCCAGCACCGCCAAACAGCTGTTTGGTGGTGTAGCAAGCTCTGGGAGGGAGGGGGAGGAGCGGGAACGTGGCGCACTCAGGGGAAGAGGTGGGGCCGGGGTGGGGATTTGGGGAAGGAGTCGGAATAGGGGCAGAGACTTTGGGGAAGGGGTTGGAATGGGGGTGGGGCAGGACCTCATGGAAGGGGTGGAGTCAGGGCGGGGCTGGGGGCAGAGTGGGGGGTCAAGCACCCACTGGTGGGAGCAGAAGTCGGCGCCTATGAAACAAAGAGCTGTACCCCTTCTCCTGCAGTAGAGTTGGCTGGGCATATAAAGCTCAGCAGTCTTACCTTACAGGATGGCGACTTAGAGGACTGAGCTGCAACCTCTCCAGTCTCCCAGAGGCTTTTTGTGCTGGCTACAACCATGCTTGTGGTGGTAAGTTCAAGGGAAGATTGTCGGACGAGTTTCTGAACCTTCTCGGATGTCTGGAAACAAAGCAAATCAGAGTAAAAGTGTTCCGAGCACTTGCAGATTTTTATGAATAGATTCTTGGAGAAAGGAGGTTGTAAATAATCATTTCGATGGATACATTAACTACAGAGTCAAGGGACAGAAACAAACAAGAACATGGAGGCTAAGTTGAAGAACATTGTGCCCATTCAGGACAGAGGTGCAGGGAGGAGACAGCCCTCGTCTGGTGTAGTAAGATAGGAGAAAATGGCTTGTTCACATCTCTAGCGCTCCTGCTCAAAAGACACACGATTCCTTATCCTGATGAATTAAAGAACATGGAGGGATTTAGGAAGATTAGATTCAATCCCTTCTAGCATTATTATAGCTAGCTGCTAGGGCAGTCTACAAGGACCAAAGGAGGTGAGGACTATCCAGAATAGAATAGAGCCTATATGGGGCTGGGGGTTGAGAACATGCCACCTATATGATCGAGAGCATCACCTCAATGGCATGAGTGTACTGCTCCAGTCTGTCATCAATCTTGGAAACAGGAAGTGGTGGCTGAGTCTTCTTCACGCTGTTGCTGGAGAAAGGAGGAAGCATTATTGCCTTAAGCTCAGAGTGAAGTATACCCAAGCCTCTTATGGGAAGAAGCCACTAGTTTTTCCCCACCCCCACGTCACAAATGCTGGTTCTGAAAGATGTCCAAATGACCCACTAAGCAATAGGACACTGTTCCCCATCAACCCACCAGCAGAGCCCTCCAGCATGATCACTTGGAATTGTGTCTTTGGTTCAGGTGCGGGTCTGTGTTACAGTAATACCCAAATCAAAGCCCAGTGGAGAATTACCAACAGGTCAATCAGTGGAAGGAGAATTACCTTTTCTTTATGGAGCGGTTCAGGGATTCAGTTCGGTCTGTGATCTAAGTGGGAAGACATGAGAAAGAAGAGACATCAGTTTTCCCTGCTGCCCTGAGTCCCTCATCTTAATTGGCCATAACTCAAATCAGTGAGTTCTCCCCACCCCTAATTGAGAGATTTGGGTCATTTCAAAAGTATCTTGTTTCCTCCCACCTCCCTACCTGTACCCTGGAATGACAGAACCATCAGTCAACCCCCTTGGGTGTCCCTATAACTCCCCACTTTGCAGTCAAGAGGTGGCATCTTCAGCTGCAACAGCAATGATGGTAGATGCAGCAGACCTGATGGTGCTGGACCAACAAGTTCTGGAGGTGGCTTCAAAGTGGAGGAGCTACCAGGAAAGTGAACTTCCAGAGCATCATAGGATGAACTGCAGTGAAGAGTCAAACATCTGTATTTTAAAAAGCTTCCCCCCATGTTTCCAGCCCAGTGATTCCCCCATCTTGAAAGAAGAGTCACATCTAGGGCAGAGTGCAGAAGGAAAAGCTGCAGGACACTTGTACCTAGTCCATTCCCCACTGCAGCCGCAGCCTGATCCTGTTCTCCGAGGGTCACTAATTCATCTGGCCACAGGAGCAGCTAACATGCATGTTGGCTGCCAGTGTAAGCAGCAACCTGACCACCAAGCTTCTCTCCTCCCATCCCATCATATTCTAGCACATGGGTGACCCTGGGGCCAAGCTGCAGGGCCTCTCCACTGTAAGACTCACATAGGCTCTTGGTGATGATGAGTAGAATGGAAGGGGCAGGTATAGATAAAGGTAAAGACAAGAGGGGGAAAAGGCAGGAAAAAGAGGAAGATGGACAGAAAACGGCATCTGTGAGGGTACATAGTTTACACTGGCCGTTCCACTGCAAGGAGGCTCCAAGACAAAGGAGTGATTTAACCAGCAGAGCCTTCTGCACTGCCTAGGGAGCAGGAATACAAGGCTCAGGAGCCTTCAAGCCAGCATGTAGTATATTCCTTACTACCAGGGAGTCCTACAAAACCAAGAATCAGAAGCCCCGTGACAGTGATTCACCCTGCACACACATCTGCGTGCGGTAGGAGAACTGTGCACCGTTAGCAGAGGGAGACAAGTAGTAAAAGCTGCAAAACAGAAGGGTTTTAATAGACCTTCAGAGGTTACTGACCGTTTTAACTGAGCAATAAAGCATCTGACAAGACAAACTTGTCTTCTTGGTGACTGTCCAATTGCTATGTGGATATACGCAAGAGATTAGAAGAGGCTGTTTGTAGGCTCTATTACTTTAAACAGGGATGCATTAGGATGATTGTTCTGCTGGTTTATAGCATACTTGTTTGGGAGTTTTTTGGGAGCAGTACATATCACATCCATTTTCTGCTCTGGAAAATTATTCCTTTATCAGCAGGGCTCAGCCTGTCAGAGCTGCAACATTTGAGAGGCTGGGGAGTGTTTGCAGTTTGAGCTCAGGACTGTGAATCCAGAGATCTGGGCTCCAAGCCTCCGTCACTCAGCCCCTTGTGCAGTCATTGGCTCCTGTGCCGTGTGTGCTGCACATGACCATTCCAACCGGGCAGCACCTTACACTGGTGTGAAAGGGACAGGACAGAGAATCAGCCCTCTGGGTTCTGTTCCCAGCACAAGCAGCAAGTTAACTGGCATCTCGGGCAGGTTGTAGATCACCATCTGTGTCTGGGCTTCTGAAGAGTTGGGATAGCACATCACAACCCGCATCTATTGGGTATTTACAGTAAGTTTTGTAATCCTTGGAGGAGAGGCACTATACAGGAACAAGGAATTGCTCTCTTGTTCCGTTCCCCCACCAAGACTCCAGCATTAACACTGCTCCCACGTCCACAGAGAGCTATCACAAGTACCAACCGGAGAAGTTGCTTCATTTCTGCATGACACTCTAGTCACAGCCTTTCTGCACTGCTCACTTACCTGAACCCTGCTCCCCAGCCCAGACCTTCACATTGATGAATTTGCAGAACTCCTCTATTCATTTAGAGGACAGAAGGGAACATTATAAATATCTAGCTGACCTCCTGGCTCCAGGCCATAAAGAAAGTCTGTGGCAAGACTTAAGGTGCCTAGCTTCCCTTCTTCTGTGGCTGGCTACTTCATGCCTTGAGAATCCCTTCATTCCTCCATTGCTCTCATTTTTTAAAATCCCCCTTTCCTGGCCACAGAGGCCTTTGAAGTCTCAGTCAGCTACTTGTTATGCTAAGACCTCACCCACCCACCCAGGACCTCTGGATCTAACAGACACAAGCTTCAACTGCCTGAGCTAAAGGAGCGAGCTTCCCCGTCTCACGCCAGTAGTCACTACCGTGGTTAAAACTAAGAGCGTTTATGTCCTAATCCTATTTTTCTCCCCACAGGCCCATGTCTTTCCAAACCAGTCATGGTATGGAAGGATTCCACTCTTGGTTTCTTATGGATGAGCCAGGCTTTTAAATATATATATATATATATATATATATATATATATAGTTTAAACAAAATTCCTTCAACTGCTTGTGCGTAAGAACTCCTTTCTGCTTTGCAAAGATTGTGAGCACCTCTCTCCCCTGAATGAATGCGTGTACAGCCTGCTCGGTGGGGAAGCTTCCCCACCAACACCATAAAGGCCCCTTCAGAGGCAGTGGATATTTAACCCCTTCCCTGCTGTGTACGGGATTGTTCATAGCAACAGTTCCATAGGACAGTATAGGGATTTGGGGGTTGCACTGCAAGAGAGCTTCTGTCCCTAGTACCAAAGATAGGGTGGGATTTTTCAGAAGCACAAGCCCAATTCTGTTCTCACTGAAGTCCATGGTAAGGCTCCAGAGCTAGATTTTTTTTGGGTGCACACACCACCCATTCCCCTCTCTCAGGGCAGTGAGGGTTCTCTCTTCCTGGCTTGATAGTCTCACACACACATTCCCATCACGTGTCACAATGCAAATAGACTGGGGCCAGCATCCAGGTAGTTCTATTGCTCCCCAGAAGTTTGATTTTTATTGTTAACGTTTCCTGTAACGTAACAAAGTTCTGCTGCCCATCTGAGCAGCTCCTCCGACAGTTACAGACGAAACACTCCCCTTGCTACATGTTTCTTGTCACAACACCTTTTGAAAGTGACATAACTCTCCCTGGCCAGGCAACACTGAGTCACATGCACACAGCATGGGGTTTAAGAGCCACTAGGGGAGCATAATGCTAACAGGTGCATAAGAGACCACTCGAACGCTCAGCCATCACCCCAAAGACTAATGAAGTCTGCACGCACTGGACTCCTAACTCTCCATCCTAATCTGTGGCCAACAAGATCAATTCTGACAGGAGAAGGAAAGAGCCATTTTCCCCATACACCTACCATATCTGGATACACAGGGCTGCGTATCCACATGACATTGAGGGGAAGTGTATTGCAGGTAGGAAACAAGACAGACTATCAGTTTGATTAAACTTGTGAAGGTAGAAGATGGCCAGGCTTACTACTGCTTTGTATTATAAAAGTTCTTAGAGGCCCCAGTTGCGACCAGGGCACCATTGTGCTAGGTGCTGTACATCCCCATAGGGAGAGGCAATCCCTGCTCTCAAGAGCTGACTGCGTAAGTAGACAAGACAGACAACAGATGGAGAAAGTATTACGCCCATTTTACAAGTGAGGCATAGAGAGTAAGTGACTTCCCCAAGGTCACGCTGGAAGTCTGTGGTAGAGCTGGCAAGTGAATCCAGATCTCCTGAGGTCTTAAGTATTAGACCATCTTTCCTCCCCACTACATAGCACACCAGTCTCAGAGCAGGCCGCCAGGTCGCCTCTCGCTAAGGTTTAGGCCAGCTCTAACTGCACTTGCGATTCAGAGCACTCTTAGCAGCACGTACCGTTGTGGAACTCGTTGGGGACTGGCCATCACATTGTTCATCCTCTTCCCCTTCCACGCTGGAGGTGCTCGGTGCTTTCTGGCGTTTTTCTGGTGTCTCCGCCTCCTCATTCCTCCTCCTTTTTTTCTCCTGAATGCAAAGAATGAGCAGATCAGGAGCAAAGCGGATTAAATGCCTGCTGTAACAAGTGTCAGACCCACCCCCACAAGTGAAGCTTTGGACAAAGATACTCTGAGCTTTCTTTCACGTGTGAAAAATTCATTCTCCCAGTTGTCATTTTAAAAGACAACATTTTTACAGGTGCAAGGTCACAAAGTGAACTGGTGAGGTATTCTGCACGAGTTTTCACAAAGACATTTCCCACCAATTTTGCCCATCCCCCATCAGAAAGGAAGATATATCCCCACTCTCAGGCAGGGGACAGGGAAAGTAACTGCATTTATTCTGAGAAGCTATGAAGCCATAACACCCCCTAATAAGAGGGATGTCATGATATATGCAATCACAGTCCATCTTAAACATTTATTACTACTAAAAGTGACACAGACAGGCTTCCATACAGCTTGAGTTCCATCTTTGTCTCCCTTGTTTACCAGGGCCACACCATGCCTGGGACTATATACAGCACAGACACCCCTAGTGGATGGAAGGCATCAATGCTGGATCCCAATTTCAGATCTATTAGTAGATCAGGCCAAGGCTTCTCAGAGCATGGGACAAAAAAAAGGGGGGCGGGGGGGAAGGGGGTTCTGAACATATAGGTTCTGAATTTTCTTAAGAGTCCTGTATCTGTGGCTTTGTAGGATTGGAGAAACTGACACTCCGTACTGAATGATGATGAGAGAGGGCAGAACAGATACCACAGCAGAGAACTTAGAACACAGAATTACAGGCCTTGTGGTACTTGTCAGAGCAGCACTAAGTTCTCCATTATGTGCAGAGACTGATTTTCGGGAGGGGAGGAGAGAAGAAAGGAGCCAGTAAACATGAAAGTGGCATCTACACGCTTAAGCTGTGTGTAACTGGGGGTGCTTGCATAGCTGCAGCTATACCAATGCAAACTGCTGGGGTAGACGTGCTGCAACATTGTAAGGCAGGGTTTGCACTAGTGTGACCCTTGAAAGCTACTGGGACAGGTAAGTATCACAAGTACAAGCCCTGTTTGACACATTGCTGCGATGTCTACCTCACATGATGGATGGGTCCCCCATGAAGTCACAGCCATACCAAGAGAAATCACAGATCCAATATTTCTGCCCTGACCTCCTGCCCAGCTTTCTCGTCGTCCTCCTCCTCCTCCTCTTCTTGCTTCTGCTCTTGAATGCATTCTTCCTCAAAAAGTTGAAGAGGCTCCTCTGTCTCCAGCGGCTCCTGCCTCATCTCATTCTCCCCGGGAATCTCCTCCGGGCCCTCCTGATTCAGCTGGACCTGCTCCAGCTTGACTTCAGCTTCCCTCAGACCACTGTCCTCTTCCTCATAGGAGTGTCTTGGAGACCTAGAGGTGGGGAGGGGAAGAAGCCTTTGAGAAGGGAAGTGCGTGTTTCAAACCCACAGAAAATCTGGTGTTCTATACCTTTAAAACACCAGCTTTATTAGTAATGGCCCAACGTACAACTGGAGTTCTAAAAATACTGTGCAAATGCAGATATACTATTTAGTGCAAGTAGGTTTTGGTTTAATGAGAAGCTAGTGCATGGCAGAACTGGTCAATAAAACAGTAAGAAGAATTACAAACGCTTTTGGGACATTTATACTAAGGCATGGATGAAATCTTTCAAAAACAGAAGGCAAATCAGGTCCACTTTTTATCATTGTTTGCATTACGGTGGCACATAAAAGCCCCAACTCAAGACAGATGCCCCACTGCACTAGGTGCTGTACAAGCAGAGCATGATGTAGCTCTTCAGAGCAGGAACTTACAGTCTAAACAGACTGAGGGTGGGAGGGGGAAAAAAACGGAGGCAGAGAGCAGGGCCGGCTCTGGCTTTTTTGCCGCCCCAGGCAAAAAAGCCTCCGGCCACCCCCCACCCCTCCGCTCTCCCCCCGGCGGCCAGAGCGCCGGGGGTGGGGGAGGGCGGCCGGAGCCCTGGGAGGAGGGCGGCGAGCCCCGGTCAGGGCTCGGCTCTCCACCCAGCGGCCAGAGCGCCGGGGGCAGGGCGGCGAGCCCCGGCCAGGGCTCCGCTCTCCCCCCGGCGGCCAGAGCGCAGGGCGCCGGCCGCCGGGGGGCGAGAGCACAGGGGGGAGGGCGGCGAGCCCGGCCGTGGCCCCGCTCTCCCCGGCGGCCGGAGCGCCGCACCACCCCCCTCCAGGTGCCGCCCCAAGCACAAGCTTGGTGGGCTGGTGCCTGGAGCCGGCCCTGGTAGAGAGACTTGCCCAGGGTCAATGGCAGAGCTGGGAATAGGAGCCAGGACTCCTGATTCCCAGCCCAGTGTTCTGTCCACTGGCCTACATTCATTCCAGCAGCAGGAGCTGGACCCAACGCCTATTTAAGTCAATAGGATCCTTTCCTATGATTTCAGTGGGCTTTGGATCAGGCCCTAGGCTGTTTATCACATTGGTTTGGCTCCATGTACTGTACTTGATTACATGAGGCAACTTCCCTTCTGAACAACTTCTGCAGTGCAATCCAGCTTCTTCGACAGCGAACTCGGTGCTAGATACCAGATGCCAGCATTACACAGACAGGAGAGCGCTTTCACAACCTCAAGCCTCCAATTTCTCAACCTTCATGTCAGACGCAGAGTCCCATCTGAAATGGGCCTGGGGCTAAGGTTCAGCATGAGAGGAGTACAGTACAGTAATGGCGGAGGAAGACTGGTAAGAACTAAAAAGTAAATGTCACTTCTCCGTGCTACAGAATTCCTGCTCCAGTCTCAACTGCAAAGACAACAAGAAATAATGCCTCCACATTTCTAGTTCCAGATGTATGGAGCAGGAGGAGATCCCCACCCCCTCTCCCTGAGCTCCAGAGCTGGACTTTCCCTGTCCAGCCAGGCTGTGACCGAGATCCCTTTGAATTTTGAGGCCATTTGGACTAACTTGTGTGGTCTGAGGTTGGGCAAGACTAGCTTGAGTTCAACGGGATTTCTCCCCCTTGTTCTTTTGTTCCCCAGCCACCTTCTGAGAGAATTTGATTTCTAACTACAGGACAATCTACATTATTCATTAGGGTACAAGAACCATTTACATACATACACACACACACACACACTCTACTGCCTGAATGTCTGTCCACACAGCTCCTTTTTTCGATACCATTTTTCTACATGATTTCCCCCCCCCACTAGTAGAAACTAATGGAACCACTGGAATTAAGCCAAAGGAGAATGGAAACCCAGCAACGTTAAAGCCAAACATTCAAATCTACAGTGTCAAAAGTAGGGCAAGAAAAAAAAAAAAAAGAGGGAAATTGTGCAACTTTTTTCAAAATGCAAAGATTCCAAACAGCTCTAGTCCCAAGCTAGGTACACATCCCCTCTGCCCATCTCTAAAAGATATCCCCCAGCCAGGGGTACCCACTGCACATATTTCTTTGAAGCATTTAGAAAGAGGCTCGTGGCTTGATTTTCCAGAGGCACTAAAATGACTGACACTGCAGGCCATTTGCCAGGTCACAGCAAGGTCTCCATATCTAAACTGGACACAGCCGGAATCCATTTGGCTCACTTGTGGGTCAATACTGGTCAAATAGGTATTAGAGTTATAATAAAGTGTTTAGACTACTGAATGCATGCGAGTTGCTGCATGCATTAATCTTACTCTCAATAGACTCAGACTCATAGACTTTAAGGTCAGAAGGGACCATTATGGTCATCTAGTCTGACCTCCCGCATGATGCAGGCCACAAAAGCTGACCCACCCACTTTCCCTTAACTCAGCTGTTGAAGTCTCCAGATCGTGATTTAAAGACTTCAAGTCGCAGAGAATCCTCCAGCTTGTGACCCCTGCCCTATGCTGTGGAGGAAGGCGAAAAACCTCCAGGGCCTCTGCCAATCTACCCTGGAGGAAAATTCCTTCCCGACCCCAAATATGGCGATCAGTAGAACCCCGAGCATACAGGCAAGATTCTCCAGCCGGGGTTCCATACTGTAATGTAATATTAGAGCAGTTGTATTGTGAGCCTCTGATACTGTATGAATTGCTGTACAGTACTAGAAAGTGATATTAGCATGAAGAGCTGCTCTTCTACAGAAATTGTTATGACCCCGTCAAAAGAGGCTGCTCATCAATACCAGACAGGCAACGGGTGGCTCTTACAACAGTTGAGGAATTGTCAACAAGAGGACAAAAGACTTATTGTTGTTCTGCTCCCCTCCCCGTGAAAGTCAGTCATGCAAGTGGACTCCTCCTATCAGCTGAGTTTGCAGCTCAAAGCATGTAGCAAGAAGGGGATAAAAAACCCCAAGCAAAAGGAATTACTAGGTATCTCTATGCTGCTGCAACTCTGGGGAGGCAAGGGCCAGGTCTACACTACAGAACCAGTATAACTAAAGTCGCTCAGGGGTTGTGAAATATCCCCACCCCGAGAGACGTCCTTATACCGACCTAACCCCCCCCCCCCCCCATGGGCAGCACTATGTCAATGGGAGAGCGTCTCCTGTCAACATAACTACTGTCTCTCAAGGAGGTGGACTAACTACGCTGATGGGAGAAACTCTCCCATCAGTGTAGGAGCATCTTTACTTAAAATGCTGCATTGGCACAGCTGTGCCACTGTAGCACTTAAGTGTAGAACTGCCTGAGGTGTTTCTAGGCATAAGCAAGAGATCCCCAGCTCCTTAGCCTGTGTTAGCCCTACAGAACAAACAAACCAAGCTTGTGATTTTAGAAAGTTTCAAAACCTAATATAGGCACAGACTAGCATTTGTGTGTGTATGTTTGTTTGCTTGCTTGTAAATAACTCATTTCCTTTTCCTGTTTAAAAAAATCTTCATATAGTTTGCCATAGGCCTGGCTACAAGCATTGTGACCTAAACCACAATTGACCTGGGGTAAGTGGCTGATCCTTTGGGACTAGGAATAACCGGGATATTGCTGTGATTCTTAGTCTCAGTCCTCTATCACAGAGATACACTTACCCGGGTGGCAAGACAGACTGGAGTACCCAAGGGGACTGTCTGTGACTCTGTTTAAGGCGGTTAGTGTGCCTGAGGAGTTTGCACTTGGTGGAGTTGGCTGGTGAAACTAAGGTTAGAACTCATGACTACTTTGGGGTTTGTGCCTTGGTTTTGGGTTGTTGTTTTTTTTAAACAGTCTGCCCCGAGGTTGGTACTCACACTCCTGTGAGCATTATGGTGACCACAGATACCATTCAAGTCAATGGGCATTGCAGGTACTCCCCACCACTTCAAGCCCGGCCACTGTCTATTGAGTGATTTATGGATTCATTTTACAGTTCTTCTGCTTTTAAGCCAGTCTATAGTCTTCAGTGCTTTCACACTGTCACCAACGCAAGGTCCCTTTGCACCAAGGCAGCCACCACGAGCAAGAAAGCTAAACTGCTCATTGGAATGAAGTAGATTTTGGCTTAGAAGACAGCTAGGAACGCTATGGTCCTCACTAAAGCTCTTTGCTGTACTGCTGCTGAACAAAGTTGTGTTTATGTAGCCATGCCTCAGGACTGGTCATCCGCAAGCAATGAAGCGGGGAGCTCTGGCTCTAAAAGCATAAGCACTTCTATTGCCTGAGTAGAAGGGCAGAGGTCATTAGCTTGAAAGCAGTATAGGACTTAAACCTGTATACCTGACCTAACCACTAGAGGAGAACAGAGCGCAACATTGTGTTGGCAGGGGTTCCACAGAACCAACATACAACAATCTCTGGTGAGGGGGCGTGGGCCAGCCAGGCACTGACCACAACACAAGACAGCGAACAAATGCACGCCTCTCTCCTCAGATACTAGCACATGCAATTGGTATCCAGGCAGGCAGCTGATGCTGCCAGGCCAACAATCAGATACATCAAGTCCGCAGCCTGGTTGCCTTCGTTACCCCAGGCATTGTCCCCTCACCTGAATCCAGAGTAGCTATCACCAGCCATCTCTGCACAGCAAAAAGACGGAGCGACCGAGTGGAGGTTAGGTAACGGACAGCATGTTGAGCAAGAGGTGGTAGAGGGTGAAAGGGGAGGTTGAGGAAGGATTTAGGCTCTGTTTGGAAGTGCCAGTTCTGCCAGACACAGCAAGAGGAATGAAAGGGACAATGGTTCAACCAGACTTGCCCTGCACCTTCTCTTCTGGTGAAGTCTTAGGAACTGCAAGATAAAGTGACATGTTGCTGACATTGCAGCAGCCTGGCTTCGCCCAAGGTGTTCTTCCCAACAGTTGTTCATGTGAAAGGACTAGCACAGGAGTCCCTCTAGCAGAAACAGCAGCCTGGCCCAGACTCACTGCCCTTTGTCACCTTATTCCTAGCCCAGAGTAGGACATGGCAAGGTTTTTCAGGCAAGTAACTTACTTGGTAAAAGATACAGTTTTCGTCAACCCAGGGGAAAAAT